GATGGGGGGGGGGGGGTGGTATAAATATTTATTTTGGACAGATATATTAAAAAGATGCCTCCCACTTTCTGCAACAACTGTGTTAGCCATACAGGACAAGTAGCTTTGGCATTTCTTTCCAGTTCTGAATAATGTTAAAATTCAAGCCCATCTAGCTGTAAACCTTCTAAGATGAGAACCGCATGCAAAGGAAAGAGATTTTAAAATTGAGAGGCGCCCTAGCCGGCTTGGCTCAGTGGATAGAGCAATGGCCTGCAAACTGAAGGGTCCCGGGTTCGATTCTAGTCAAGGGTGCATACTTGGGTTGCAAGCATGATCCTCAGCCAAGGTCAGGGATGTGTGCAGGAGGCAGCCAATCGATGTGTTTCTCTCACATCAATGTTTTTCTCTCTCTGTCTCTCCCCCTCCCTTCCGCTCTTTCTAAAAAAATCAATGGAAAAATATCCTTGGTTGAAGATTAACAAAACGAAGTAAATAAAAATAAATAAATAAAATAAAATTGAGAGGCATGAGTGCTCCAGGCGATATACCAGTCTGTTATAACGGGAAACAGATGAGACTATATATAAATAGTAAAGTGTTTCTAGCTAGTTTCACTAGATTCAGTTTTCAGGGAGAGAAAAAGAATTTCACATGAACATGTTGCAATGCATAAGTCTTGATAACCGAAGTAAATAAAAATAAATAAATAAAATAAAATTGAGAGGCATGAGTGCTCCAGGCGATATACCAGTCTGTTATAACGGGAAACAGATGAGACTATATATAAATAGTAAAGTGTTTCTAGCTAGTTTCACTAGATTCAGTTTTCAGGGAGAGAAAAAGAATTTCACATGAACATGTTGCAATGCATAAGTCTTGATAACATTTAGATGTCTGGTTAAAAAGGCTAAACCTTTCACTATATATTTATGTATGTGTGTTTCTCTATGTTTTTATGTATGTGTGTGTAAACGTGCACTGTGTTCCAATAAAACTATATACACACACACACACACACACACACACACACACACATACACACACACACACATATATACACACATACGTATACACACATACGTATACATGTGTATGTGTTTAAGAATCAATTTTCTCATTACTACTTTGGAGATACTTGATTTCTGTGACAATATAACCTATTGTCATCAGAATCAAGGAAAACATAGGATTGTTTTTGGGGAAAAAAGCTGATCAAAATTTATCAATATTGGATATTTGATCATTTATGAGACTGAACCATTTCTCTGTGAAAAATTATGCCATCATGTGAGCTACCATACAAGAATAGGAAAACTTCCCAGGAGCACTTTTACATACAGTACAGTGCTTTCTGGAGGATTAACTAAGGTGCTGGTTTTTGAAAAACTGCCATATATTCATCTAGGCATATCCATCTGTCCCCATATCTTCCTCTGTCTGGTTCACATGTGTTACACATTACAGAGGAATTAACCAAGGAATGTGGGCAGGAAAAACACTGTCGACTTTACAGTGTCTCAATGCTTGCTGTCATGAATACAGAGTAATTAATTTCATGATAGAGGAGGGGTTATCAGATGGATTAATGGACCTGTAAGCAGGTAAACTTGCTCTGATGTGGAAACATTATTTTGAGTAAATACATATTAACATTACTCTGAAAAAATGGGGTTTGTAGATGTGCCAGTGAGAAATCCTATAAATTATTGCTAAAATTGCTATGGCAATCAGCATTTTTATGCCTTCATTAAAATACTGGCAGGAACCCTCTGTTTTCAGATTTCCTGTTCAGCTATCATTCATTTGTGCAGGATGGGATATAGTTAAAAAGTGGGAGAATCAGGGTTTCTGTTGTGGATATGTTAAAACATTACCTTTTAGGCGCATAAGTGAAGTCATCTGAGCCTAGGTGCCTGGTGCCTAGGTTTGGGGATTGAGATTATGAAATGTTTTCCTCTTCTCTATTTACAAATATCTCCAATAAGTATGTTGTACTATTATAGTCAGAAAAGCCTGTAATAATTGAAGCCTCAAGGGAGGATGGCATCAAGAGAGCAAGCTTCTGATGTTCCCTTGTCTTGTCCCAAGAAACTATGGAAAACAAGAGGTAAAAATGGTGGGTGGGGTGCCTTCGGTTTTGAAATCTGGGAATGGTGACAACTACAAACCCAAGTTTCCAAAATAAAGTACTGTAGCCCTTCAAGCTCCCATATTTATGCAAGTTGTTTTTTAAAGACAAACTAATGAAATTGACCCAATAACCATAATGTATTTTTAAAAACAATTAAGGGATGTGGGCAGGAAAAGCGTGGACTATAAGAGAAATTCACTAAGAAATATTGTCATACTTTACCTTA